AGCTGGACTCCAAAGAACAGAGAGGGAAAGCCGTGGAGATGCAAAACGATGAAAGGTGGTTAAAAGATTCAACATCACCCAAGATATGCTAGTATCAGTCAATTCCTCTAGAAAAACAAAAGATACCATGCCAGAAGTCCATAGAGAAAAAAAATACTAAGGCGAAAGACTCCAAAATTTGCTAATCCAAGAGTGTGTACAGAATGAGACATACTAATAAAAAAACACACACTCCAGAATGAGTAATGACCACACACACACCCGTTTGACAGCGCCACAGCGGGGCTGAGGGGCAGTGTTCCCGAAGCAAAATGAAAAAATTGCATTCAAAGTTGCCTGTTCGCTCGAGCGGAGAATACCTGGTTCCAGAAGTTTGATCGCCTGCAAAAATACTGCGAGATGTTTTTTCCTGCTCGAGCGGAACTTTCCGCGCTCGAGCGTAGGTCCGCTCGAGTGGCCAATCTGACGCTCGAGCGGAGATTGCGGGACAGTTTTTTATAAATACATGTTTCAGTCCAAATCTAGGATTAACTTCTCCAGATCTTCTTCTTGGGTTCTAGAGTTTATATCTGGGGACATTTTGCTAGTTTTCTTTGATGCTTTAATTGAGTATTCAACTTATGGTTTAAGGAGAATACATCAAAGGTTTGTTTGTTCATTCTATACAAAAGAGAGAGTTGTTCTTCGGTGGATTCTGAAGAATTTGAGCCTGAAGCTTTGGTGGATTCTGGAGTGGCTCATCGTCAAGACAATTTCGAGGTGAAGACGGGGTTGGAAGAGGCACATAGAGGTTGGTTCAATTCGGGTGTGGATTCGCTAGGTAATTGAGAGTATGCCTGTGTAATTCCTTTATATCTTTTTAGTGGATTGTTTTGTGGCTGTTGTCCGTGGTTTTTTTATCACAATTGGAGGTGTCCAATTGTGGTTTTTCCACGTAAAATCGTTGTGTCGGTTTGTCTTGATTGTTTGATTGGGATTGTTATATTCTGCTTAAAATTGATACATAATCACAAATCAACATCTCAGGAATTTCTAGATTTTTCACAAAATTTTTTAAGACTTAGGTAAAATATTTTTAAATTCGGTATGGGCTAAGACACAAATGCAGAAACTCAAATTAAATTTTGACGAGTTTGAATAAAGACATCAAACAACCCGAAACCCCGAATTATATATAAAAACATTAATATACATATAAATTATTAATCATTAAATGATAGTAAAGTAATTTATATAGTTAGATTATATTAAATATATATTATATACACAAATAATACATGTTAAGATCGGTAAGGGTACCCAATAGGGGTTTCGTCGGAAACCCCTCCGATGATAAAGTTAGGGACTAAGGGAGAGGAAGAAGAAGAGTAAATACAAAGAGCGTCTCTAGTAAGTGTGTAGATTTTGGATGCCTTGTGGGTGAATAGTGCTCACCTTTTATAGGAGAAGGTTGCTTATTGTAGACACCCCATTTTCAACTGCCCTTAAGATTTGGGCGCCACTGATTGATTACTCGAGGATGAAGGCTATGTTGTGCAATCGCTCAATTTCTTCAGCAAAAAGAGCTCCAAATCCCAACCTTACACCCCATTTTTGGACCAAATGTTTTTTTACCAAAATTATTTTAGACCGTAAAACCCTCTCTTTCAAAATATTTTTTTGAAAATGCTTCTACGATGTTCCGACGCTCGCATTTCGTTAAAAATTGCACTTTTTGGTAAACCAAGCAAGGACAAAGTGGAAATAAACGAAAGAGAGGTGAACTCTTTGAAAAATCTTTCAAAACATCTTATTTTTAGGTTTGGAGTGGAAGAAAATAGGAGAGGAGGGAAGAAAACTAGTTCGGGAGAAGTTAGGCATGAATCCGGTTAGGACAAAACTGAGCAACCTTTACTAAAATAGGCATATCTCTTTGCACACTTAGAATTTAGATCAACGAATAGTCCATGCAACCAAGGGATTGGAGCCTAAGTGGCTTACTCTTTGGCCACCAAGTCTCTCTTAAGGAGAGAGAGGTCTTGGGTTCCACTCTTAGGGGTGGAATGAGGGGCAAGACTTAAGTACTTGCAAGGAGAGGGTAGGAGTTCAACTCCCCCCAAGTGTTAATCTAACAACTAACCACTGACTTATGCCATCATGCTACAGTATAAACATGTCTATACGGTGATCTTGTTAGTTTGGTGCATTTTTTTGTATTCTTCTTCTTTCTATAATGCGGGAAGTTTTGTCCCATTGACTCTTGTAGCTAAATTTGTTCATTGTGACTTTTAGGCAATCTCCTTTTCAAACTTATATGCCCCAGGGCATCTGATTATTAATGTGAGAGATGCAGAGAAATGGGAGAGTTTCATTGAGAATGCATGTATAGTGCTTCTTGTGCTTATTTTTATTATATGTATTTTGTATAGTTATATTTTCTTAAGCCATTTTGCCATAAGCATTTTAATAAGAGTTATTAATTTGTGTTGTTGCTTTGAATTATCATTCTACGTTATACACTTGGCGCATTTGGTTTTGTTTTCATTTTGGCCTTCTTTGGAAAATCAGCTATTTTAGCTGGCTTTTTGGCTATTTTAGCCTAGCTAAAAACGTTGTGTTTGAGAAGTTGGTTGGTTTTTTTTTGGTAGTTGATTTGATGGTTGTGAGAAAAAAAATAAAATGATTATGGATTGGATGTGACATTTTGTGTTATTGACTATTTTAGCTTATTTTGTTTTTTAGTAGGCTATTTTAGCCCAACTCTCTTCCCAATCGAAAAATAAATAAATAAATAAAATGATACAAAAAACTTGTTTGGCATTGGAGAACTGTTTTCGGCAAAGCTTTCTAAAAACCCCTCTTTTTAGGAAGCACCTTTAAATTATTTTTGAATTTTCAAAAATTGGTGTTTGCACAAAAATGAAAACAATATGAAAGCAGTGGGTGTTTTTTAACTTCTCATTATTGTTTTTATATATGAAAACACGTAAATTTTGAAAAAAAAAAAATTGCCATTCAAGTAATTTTCTTTTTTTCTTTTTAATATTATTATCTATGTTGCCAAAAATTTACAATTCATGATTTGATTCACAATTCTGGAGTAGATCCATGCGGTTCTTTGGTTGACTCTATTTTGGGTTAGAGTTGTTAATGTGTCACGCCCCAAGCTCCGTGACAACGCCGCACACTCATTTAAGTGAGCATGCAAGGCTAAGAGTCCAATCACATAGCCCACAATGTAAAATATTCAAATTAAATCCTTAATTATCATAATGCTAAAATTCATAAAAATAAATAATTCTTATCATATGAAATTATCCACCAAGTCCACTAATATAATCCACTAACAAAATAATAATCTAAGTACTTAAATTATAGTCTTACTCTCGCCACTCCCCTGAGTAAAAACCCCGCGCAGCTCTACTCCTTAGAATCTGAAAAAAATAAATAAAATAAGGGTAAGCTAGATAGCCCAATAAATAACCAACCATCACTGCTAGCTGGATCAAGTATACAAAAAAAATAAATAGTCGATAACCAATAAATACAATTTTTGCTACAATTCAATAAACGAACAATTATTTGTAAGATGGTTTCATAGTTAAAAATAAACAATGTACAATACATTTTAATTGAAAAGCCAACAAGATAATTCAAAGTAAATTCGTCCTTCAAATCGATGGTTCAATATTCAGATGGTTCAATGATTTGATTCACAAAACCCAAGTCTTGGTGACTACGGTCACTTAGCCCGTAACAAGGTCCAAAACCACACATAGGCCGGTGGTAAAGCCCCAAAAGAAACTAGTTTCTGTGCCAATAAATAACCCCCATTGGCTAGGGTCCAAATCGTAGTCAAACTAGAGTGATGTTCAAAATTTAAACAATACACAAATTTTAAATAAAACATTCAATATTTTCAAAATAAGCGTTTAGTACAATTTTCAGAATAGTTCCACAAAATATTCAAATAATTTTCATAATAATATTCGATGCTGTTTTATACTTGACCCATATTTTATTTTAAGAGAACATGAATGTTATAAATAAATACTTATAATTTTAAATGATTCAATAGGAATAAAAATGTACCAACAGTGATAGAGGGTTACTTACACCAAACGTTTAGAAATAATATTCCAACACCAACTCCAAACACCCAGCTCCACCACTTCAATCACACAAACCTAATAAACAAAACCTTAAATAAATTAATATGTTTACGTGTTACATACACCCACAAAAGCCCCACCATATTAGATTAATGTATTGTTTTAATATCCAAGTGATTAAACCATTCAACCCAACTTTACAGCCAAATACACCCTTACCCATGATACAAAACTCCTTGGTTTCTATTACCCACCCAAAGTTACACTTACACATTGCACCCAATTCTCAAAACCTAAGTAGGCACCTATAGATCTTCCAAATCCCCTTAATGCATTGATTGTTAAATTCCTCAACATAAACTTAATAATTAACAGTAAAGACATATTTTACCTTAACCAATGGGTGTCCCAAAATCACCAACGTGCTGCCTCCAATCCCTATTGCAGCCTCACTTGAACCTCTCTTCTCTTTTTCTTTTCTTTTTTCTTTTATCTTCTCAAACCCTAGCCGCCTATGGAGCAATTCCCAGCCTTTGTTTTGTTTGTTTTTCAAGACTTAAAGCCACAATAGGTGGGCTTATAAACCTAATTTCTCAAAGTTACAAAATTACCCATCTAAGTAATAGGAAATATAATGCCATCTCATAACTAATTCTTTGATATTAATAAATAACCCATATAAATTAATTTAATTACTAATCTATCCAATAAAATAATCCTACACACAACTTGGGTTTTACATTCTTCCCCTCTTGAAAGAAATTTCGTCCTCAAAATTTGACATACCTGTAGTCTCAAAAGTTGTGGATACTTTTGTCTCATTTTATCCTCAAGTTCCCAAGTAGCTTCTCTCTCTGAGTGATTGCTCCATTGAACCTTAACGTAGTGGATGACTCGACGCCTCAAAACTTACTCCTCCTTATCAACAATTCTTATAGGGTGTTCCTCATAAGTCAAATCCTCCTTAAACTGCAATGGTGCATGATCAATCACATGATTGGGATTCGGTATATACTTCCTCAACATCGAAACATGGAAGACATTATGAACTCCAACTAGTGAAAGTGGTAGGGCAAGTCTGTAAGCTACCTCTCCAATTCGATCTAAAACCTCAAATGGTCCAACAAATCTAGGACTCAATTTACCACGAACACCAAACCTCATTACTCTTTTCATAGGAGACACCTTAAAGAACACATGGTCTCCAACCCCAAACACCAAATCGTGTCTCATGTTATCTGTATAACTTTTTTGCCTATTCTGTGCAGTGCGAAGTCGCTCTCTAATAAAATTGATCTTGTCCACTATTTGTTGCACAATCTCAGGCCCTAAAAACTTCCTTTCGCCCGCATCATCCCAACAAATAGGTGATCTACACTTTCGTCCATATAAAGCCTCATATGGTGCCATATGAATGCTCGCATGATAATTATTATTATAAGAGAATTCCACTAAGGCCAAATGCTCATCCCAAGAACCTCCAAGGTCAATAATACAGGCCCTCAACATGTCTTCAAGAGTCTAAATAGTTCTCTCTGACTGTCCATCAGTTTGAGGATGAAAGGCCGTGCTAAAATTCAAACTAGTACCCAAAGCTATATGCAAACTCCTTCAAAACATAGATACAAATCTGCTATCTCTATCAGACACTATGGTCACCGAAATACCATGCAACTTCACAATCTCCTTGATAAACAATTTTGCAAACCTCTCTAAGGAGAACCCTACCTTAAAAGCTAGAAAGTGAGCGGATTTGGTCAATCGATCAACAATAACCCAAATAGCATTGTTACCACCTTAGGTCCTAGGCAACCCTGTCACAAAATCCATGGTAATATGTTCCTACTTCCACTCAGTAATAGGAAGAGGTTGTAACTTACCTGCAGGTCTCTGATGTTCAACTTTCACTTGTTGACATACCAAACATTGAGCAACATACTGAGCAATTTCCCTCTTCATATTATTCCACCAAAAGTTCCTCTTCAAGTCTTTATACATTTTAGTGCTCCCTAGATGTACAGTATATCCTGAACTGTGAGCTTCTCTCAGGATTTCTCTCTTGAGCTCTAACTCATTAGGCACACACAACCTCTCTCCAAATCTCAAGGTTCCATCTTTATGCATACAAAATTCCATCTATAGCTCTATTCCATTTCAGCCTTAAGTTTTTGCAACTGAGGATCTCTTCCTTGAGCATCTTTAATTCTATCAATCAATGTGGGTTGAACCCTAAGGTTTGCCAACTGCACTCCATGGTTGTGCCATCTAATCTCAATATTCAACCTTCGCAAGTCCTCTAAGATATTCTTTTGGTCATTGATCAAGGTAGCCAAATTACTCAGGGTCTTTCTACTCAAGGCATCAGTCACTGCATTGGCTTTTCCTGGATGATAATTGATAGTCAAATCATAATCCTTTAATAACTCCAACCATCGCCTTTGCCTCCTATTCAATTCTTTTTGAGTGAAAATATACTTCAGACTTTTATGATCAGTGAATATCTCACATTTCACCCCACATAGGTAGTGCCTCCAGATTTTCAATGCAAACACCACTGCAGCCAACTCCAAATCATGCATAGGATAATTTTGCTCATATGGCTTCAATTGCCTAGACGCATATGCCACTACCTTATCATTCTGCATCAGGACACAACCTAAACCCACTTCGATGCATCATTATAGATGGTAAAACCTCCATCTCCGGACGGAACTATAAGTACTGGAGCAAACACCAATTGACTCTTTAGATCCTGGAAACTCTTCTCACAATCATCAGACCATTCAAATTTAACCCCTTTTTGTGTTAAACGAGTCAAAGGCATAGAAATTCGGAAAAATCCCTTAACAAACCTTCTATAATAACCTGTTAAACCCAATAAGCTACGAATTTCAGTGACACTAGTAGGCCTATTCCACTCTACCACCGCCTCCACTTTCTTGGGGTCAATAGACACCCCGTCTTTAGATATCACATGACCTAAAAATGGTACACTCTCCAGCCAAAATTCACACTTCTTTAATTTAGCAAATAATTTATTCTCCCTTAATAACTGCAACACTATTCTCAGATATTCTTCGTGCTGTTCTTTACTCTTCGAGTACACAAGAATGTCATCAATAAAAACTACCAAAAATTGATCTAAGAATGGTTTAAATACTCTGTTCATTGAATCCATAAAAGCTGTAGGCGCATTGGTCAACCCAAACGACATCACTAAAAATTCATAATGCCCATACCTAGTTTGGAAGGCTATCCTAGGTATATCTTATGCCTTAACCTTCAACTGATGATATCCAGAACGAAGGTCAATCTTAGAAAAGACTTGTGCTCCTTGCAATTGATCAAATATGTTATTTATCTTAGGCAAAGGATATTTATTTCGAATTGTCACCTTGTTTAACTCTCGATAATCAATGCAAAGGCGAAAACTACCATCCTTCTTTTTCACAAATAAAACGGGCGCGCCCAAGGAGAAACGCTAGGCCTAATAAAGCCCTTATCTAGTAACTCTTGTAATTGTTCCTTCAACTCTTTTAACTCTACTGGGGCCATCCGATACGGAGCCTTGGAGATAGGACCCGTGCCGGGTATCAATTCGATGGCAAACTCAATCCCTCTATCTGGTGACAACCCCGGTAAGTCTTCAGAAAAAATATCGGGAAATTCCTTTGCAACTAGAATATCCTCTAACTTCAATTCAGTCTCACGGGCATCTCTCACAGAAGCTAAATAACCCTCGCAACCATTCCTCAACAATCATCTAGCTTGCAATGCTGAGATTACCAGAGGAGGAGTGTTAACTCCACTACCCACAAAACAAAATTCTGGTTGATCAGGAATTTGAAATACTACCCTTTTTCCTTGGCAATCAATAGAAGGATAATTTGTTGCCAACCAATCCATTCCAAGAATTATGTCAAAGTCCCGCATATCTAAAACAGTCAAGTCTACAAGCAATCTCTTGCTATCTATACTAACCACACTAGATTTGCTAATGTCTCCTCATGTTCCATTGCAACCTATATGCATCAATAATAAAACCTCATCTTATTCTATTCTCAAGTCCCTATAACATGTAATTAAAATTAACATTATACTAAAATATAAGCGTTCCCAATCCTACATCTACCCAATCTCACTACTATTCTATACCAGCCTATAAAATTATAACCTGGCTCTGATACCACAAAATTGTCACGCCCCAAGCTCCGTGACAATGCTGCACACTCATTTAAGTGAGCATGCAAGGCTAAGAGTCCAATCACATAACCCACAATGTAAAATACTCAAAATAAATCCTTAATTATCATAATGCTAAAATTCATAAAAATAAATAATTCTTATCATATGAAATTGTCTACCAAGGCCACTAATATAATCCACTAACAAAATAATAATCCAAGTACTTAAATCATAGTCCTACTCTCGGCACTCCCCCGAGTAAAACCCCGCGTAGCTCTACTCCTTAAAATCTGAAAAAAATAAATAAAATAAGGGTAAGTTAGACAGCCCAGTAAATAACCAACCATCACTGTTAGCTAGATCAAGTATACAAAAAAATAAATAAATAGTCGATAACCAATAAATATAATTTTTGCTACAATTCAATAAATGAACAATTATTTGTAAGATGGTTTCATAGCTAAAAATAAACAATGTACAATACATTTTAATTGAAAAGCCAACAAGATAATTCAAAGCAAATTCGTCGTTCAAATCGATGGTTCAATATTCAGATGGTTCAATGATTTGATTTACAAAACCTAAGTCTTGGTGACTACGGTCACTTAGCCTGACTACGGTCACTTAGCCCGTGACAAGGCCCAAAACCACACATAGGCCGGTGGTAAAGCCCCAAAAGAAACTAGTTTCTGTGCCAATAAATAACCCCCATTGGCTAGGGTCCAAATTGTAGTCAAACTAGAGTGATGTTCAAAATTCAAACAATACACAAATTTTAAATAAAACATTCAATATTTTCAGAATAAGCGTTTAGTACAATTTTCAGAATAGTTCCACAAAATATTCAAATAATTTTCATAATAATATTCGATGCTGTTTTATACTTGACCCATATTTTATTTTAAGAGAACATAAATGTTATAAATAAATACTTATAATTTTAAACGATTCAATAGGAATAAAAATGTACCAACAGTGATAGAGGGTTACTTACACCAAACGCTTAGAAATAATATTCCAACACCAACTCTAAACACCCAGCTCCGCCACTTTAATCACACAAACCTAATAAACAAAACCTTAAGTAAATTAATATTTTTACGTGTTACATACACCCACAAAAGCCCCACCATATTAGATTAATGTATTGTTTTAATATCCAAGTGATTAAACCATTCAACCCAACTTTATAGCCAAACACACCCCTTACCCATGATACAAAACTCCATTGTTTCTATTATCCACCCAAAGTTACACTTATACATTGCACCCAATTCTCAAAACCTAAGTAGGCACTTATAGATCTTCCAAATCCCCTTAATGCATTGATTGTTAAATTCCTCAACATAAACTTAATAATTATCAGTAAAGACAGATTTTACCTTAACCAATGGGTGTCCCAAAATCACCAACGTGCTGCCTCCGGTCCCTATTGCAGCCTCACTTGAACCTCTTTTCTCTTTTTCTTTTCTTTTTTCTTTTATCTTCTCAAACCCTAGCTGCCTATGGAGCAATTCCAAGCCTTTGTTTTGTTTGTTTTCCAAGACTTAAAGCCACAATAGGTGGGCTTATAAACCTAATTTCTCAAAGTTACAAAATTACCCATCTAAGTAATAGGATATATAATGCCATCTCATAACTAATTCTTTGATATTAATAAATGACCCATATAAATTAATTTAATTACTCATCTATCTAATAAAATAATCCTACACACAACTTGGGTTTTACATAATGAATCACACAATGCACAATTTGATTCAAGTATTACAATTCATGTAATTCTTGAAACTATTAGTTCAACAGATTCCGACCATTTTTACATCATTTTGGTGAAAATTTCATAATCCAACTTCTTAGAGTGTTTAAATTTAAACTTACCAATATCTTTGTATGAGTTGTTATTTTCCTGATCAAAGGGTTAATATAATCTAGTCAAATTCAATCAGAATCAACATTTTCTTAACATTCTTTTTTCTTTTTTTGTTGTTGTTTTTGTTGTTGTTGTTGTGTTGTCCTGCAAAGAAGGTCAAAGTAATTTCTAAGGA